ATATATTATATTATATAGAGAGATATATAGATATATAATTTATATGTAGATATATAGATATCTCTATCTCTATCTCCCCTCGTAACTGTATTTCCGGGTTCTGGTTTTAGAAACAACATTTGATAGATATGTTTGGGTAAAATGTAATCAAAATGAAAGGTCCACGTCTTACTTTTAAAGGTTCTCCTATTATGGGGTACGAGGACAAATGGCATTTACTATCCATTTATTCCCTCTACGCTACTCCAAATGTGATTATGGCCGGTTTATATTCTTTGAATGCAGGCGAAAACACAATGTGCCTGCCCGGAGTACAAACAGAAAAGTGTACACTTGAGGCCTATATTTCGAGGGATAGGTATTCTGTGTTCGCCTCATCAACAACCAGCGAAAAACCTTCCCTGCTCTGCCGGTAGATGGTGACAACTTTTTTGTCTTTTTTTATGGCGCGGGGGGGGTGGGGGATGATCTGCCGACAGTCATCAAATAGGACACTAGTCGGAGAAGCTGATCATAAACTCGCCCCCCCCCCCCCTTTCCCAACAGGCTCAACCATATCTCATAGGTATTGATATGGCTAGATGAGGCAGTCGCAGAGAAATTAAATACCCGCTACTACTGAAAGAGTAATTTATGAATAAGAAAATTGCCATTGAACCGTTTGTCAAGAGAATTAGTTTCAAAATGTTCCATTAAAATTGTTTTACCTCAGCTCTTACTATTTTTTATCACATTTTAATAAGTACTGATATCCAATATAAAATGATAAATATTATACATGTAAACCCTGTTTGAAGTCCTATTCCTACCTCCTCACGATAAGCAGGGATAACTATTACATTATATTTCAAATTAAGAACAATGTACACGCTCGCAATGCTCAGAGATATGAATGATCATTTTCCCGTTTCGATACCCTACTTCTGTCAATTTTTAACTATTCGATCATAAAAGGTCGAGTTCATGATCAAACTTTCCGCGCGTAGGGTTGTTGATTTTGCTACCGCTGCCGCAATAAATAGTACATTGCGGGGTGGTTACATTAGTTAGTTTTTCTTTGTCAACTGTGATCTTCAAACTCTCCTTACCCCAAAGTGTCGGCTGTCAAGCCCTATTTGGAAACTCTTGGTGTACATTTTGAAAGGCTAAAGGTGTAGACGTATTATTAGCCACAGAGTATGCTAGTAGAGAGATGTAGTGCGAATAATTAGTTCCCTAGTGACCGAGATTACTGGTGTTGCTGTATAGCCCTCGAGTGTCCAATGTACTGCTAGTTAAGTAATTAACCATCTCCGATTGTCGACTAAAATGACTGCGTTGAGCTAGGACAGGAACCTAACGCCAGAAAAGTCACTGCGGGCTATGTTCTTTCTAATTCGTGACGGCAAGGAGGTAAATGATATTCTGGGGGTTCAGGCACCGAAGTGTGGGTTACCACCAAACCGAAAATATCCTTTTAAATGCAAGACTGTGCTGTTATTCCGTGTTCCATCAAACCCCCCCCCCCCCAATGATTACACGTCTTTAAAAAAAAATACATCTTTTTTTCGAGAGAGAAATAGGGGAAAAGACAAAGCCCAAAAAGTAGTAAGTGTCAGTCTCCCGTCTATATTTGTTTACTGTTTGTCAGCTTATTTAATGATAAATTGTTGACGCGACGCTTTGCAGAATCGTAGATCTGAAAAAAGCAGTTCTGTATTTTCATGGTCTTTAGGTATCATTTTGAGGCAGAATGTTGTGGGG